ACTTGGCGAACCCGTGGCGGAGGTGAAGCAAGCTTCAAGCACTCCACCGCATTGCAAAAATAAGTTTAATATCTTGGATCCAAATAGGATCCGTATCAGATATTAAGCTGATAAGAACAGATATATTTTTTATTAATGTTTCATGGGGCCGTAGGTGATTGAGTCCAACTATTAGACATAGCTTTTTCCCCGCGACATAATTGACGTTAGCGCGACAGCCAAAACAGGAAATGGCGCGTTACAATCGACACTTTCAGGGCACTTGCAATGACGCACTTGGGGAGTTTGCACATGGTCGGGAACGAGTTCTACCATATTATACAATGATAATGCATTTGCATTTTCCTAGGGACGCGCACGCACAGTTTAGTTTGACTGCCGTAAGTGTTCGTGATATATGCCTCGTGATGCGGCAATCACTTCACTAACGCATAGTTTCTTGAATAGGCGCAGGTAGGGACGCGAACATATGCGCCGAAGCACACGGTCGTTCCTTGAGTCCCAAGCGCCGAGGGCTCCCACGATGACGGCGTCGACGGTGACCCGCTGGTACCGGCGACGGAGAAACGCCACCACCGGCTCGTAATGAGCCAGCTTGGCGTTACGGGCGTTCTCGAATGCATCCGGCGTATTCTCGAACGGGCACGTGACGTCGATGACAATAGCCTCTTCGCCACGCACCAGGACGAGATCCGGACGCAGGCCCGTGTCTCCGACGGCCTGGTTTTCGAAGGCCACCGTGAACTCGCGGGAGGCGGCGGTCCGGACACGGTTGACGATGGCGTCGTGGCGGGCCCGGTAGAGTGCACTGCGAGGCATGCAGTGGCACACCACATGCGGCAGCGTCTCCCTCAGGTACCCGCAGACGCGGCACCGCTGGTCCCTGTCCGGCGCGCCCCACATGCGAGCGCCGTTGAGTGGGAGCAGGTTCAGTCGGGCCCTGTGCACGAACCGCCAGTCCGCGAAGGTGGTGAAGGCGCCCGTCCGCATGAAGTGGGAACTGGCGCGATCAGCCGCCACGCAGGCCAGCACCTTCCCTTGGTTGGGGAGGTCGTGCAGGGCGCGGTCCCGTTGTCTGGCCAGTATCTCACGCAGCGTCCGCATGACGCGGCATCGGTGCTGCGGAGTTATCGTCGCGTCGCCACAGGTGAGCCGAACGCCGCCAGGATCCAGGGTCCAGGCGACGTTGTAGTGGCGGGACGCCTTACGGGCATTCGTCCATACGGACCGCAACTGGTTGGCTGGGACCCGGAACCCGTCCTCAAGCGATCCCCCGAGGTAGGACTCCAGCTCGAAGCGGGTGACCTCCCAACCGAGGCGGGCAGTGGCGGTTGCATAGGCGTCGTCCAAGGCCATCTGCCGCAGCTCGGTGTCGGGGGACGTCAGGAGCTTGTAGGCCGAGTCGATGCGGCAGAGTTGGCTGAGCTCTGCCGCGACCGGGATCCCGACAGCACCACCAGGGGCGGAACCGTAGATGTAGTTGGTGGCCGCGTTGGTTGGTAGGTAAAGCGTGCGCTTTACCAGCGGCCGAATGGCATCGTCCAGTCGGCGCCAGTCCGTCGTCGAAAGGACCCCGCACCTCATCGGAAAGTTGAGCGCCGGGTAGACAAAGGTCCGGAGGGCATCCAGACGCTGCCACGGCGCCAACATCGATGACATGATCGCCCGGGCTTGGGCGATGGCGGACTCGACGGCGGAACTGGAGCCGGAGGGAATCCTGAAACCGATGGGACGTCCCAGGTACCGCTGCGGCTCGAAGTCGCGCAGCACCGAGATGGGAACGCCCGAGACTCTGAACTCCGTCTGGCGCATCCCCACAGGTGTCGATCCGACCATGTGGAATGACGCGCACTTCGACGGGTTCAAGGACAGGCCCAGGGATGCGGCGAGGGTCTCGATCCGGTTGATGCGCTGTTGTAGTCTGCGCGGAGTCGAGGCCAGGGGAGTCAGGTCGTCCGCATAGGCAAGGATCTTGTGGTCGGAACCATCACCCTGCACTGCGCGGATGACCGGGTCAATCACCAAGTTAAATAAAATTCCACTTAGTGGGCAACCCTGACGCAGCCCTGCCAGGATCGGGATCGGCTCGGTTGTTCCCTCGGCCGCCAGGATGCAGGTGGTGTTGTCCCTGTAAAGGTCGCCGATTACCTCCGTAAACACGGGGCCGGCGCCAGCACCGGTCAGGGCGTCGAGCAAAGCCTGGTGCGGGACGGATCCAAACGCATTGTTGAAGTCCAACAGCGCCGCACACAGGTCGGGGCCTCCCGACCGGGCGATGTCGAGCCTGCGTTGTAAGATGTAGTTAAGCTCGAACACGCCGTCGTGCGGAAGGAAGCCCTTCTGGCACTTCGACAGCACGGCGTGCTCGATCATCCAGGCCTGGAGCCGGGCTGCAAGGCACTTAGCATAAAGCTTCGCAGCCGTGCAGCCAAGGGCTATGGGCCGCCAGTTGGACGGGACCTGGGGGTCTCCTCTCTTGAAAATGAGGACGGTTCGAGTTGTCCTCCAAGAGTCTGGCGTGCGTCTGTGGTGTAGACAGGCGTTGAAGAGCGCCGCCAGGAACCGTGCCTCCGGGTCGACCGTTCGCCAGTGGTGGTAGGTAAGACGGTCTGCTCCGGGGGCCGTGCTCTCGGACTTGCGCAAACGCCCGAACACCTCGTCCGGTGAAAAGTTGGTCGTATCTACTCCCGCCGGGGCCGGTTCTCTTCCCAGAAGAAGGGTAGAGTCGGCCTGGCGGGCCGACCACGTGCGTCCCCAATGGTCCTGCAGATCCTGAAGCGGGATGGCGCACGTCTGGGGTGGTCCCTCCAGGATCAGCCGAACCGCGCGTCGACGGTTGCGGCGGTACAGCCGCTGTATGTCGACCGCGTTCGTTGGGTCGGGCTGGCGGCGTTGGCGACCAGGACGCACCGGTGGGAGACGCACCGCCTCGACAGCCAAGGCGACGGCCCGCGTCCATGCTTCCTCGCATTGGGCCCATGACTCGTCGGTGGGCGGGTCCCGCAGCAAGGAGCGGAGCAGGCGTGCCTGGTCCTCGAGGAGGCGCGTGTGGTCCGGTGGCATCCGGAGGGTCGCGGGGTCGGACTCGGGCTGCTCCTGTACGTCGTCGGGATCCGCCGCTGCCTCGTCCACGGACGCGGGTGGCGACAGGGAGGAGGCTGGAGACACCGGGGACCCGGGCAGAACGACCGGGGACAACCCGGCATCGAGCGGCGGTGAGGACACCGAGACGTCGTAGGAGATAGTGTCGTCGTCGTCGTGCAGAAGAAACGCGGCGTCGCCAACGGGCGAAGCCGGCGACGAGCCGCGCGAAGCGGGAGACGCGCCATCGGACGACGACGAGGGCCCAAAGTCGTATGGTACCAGGACTTGCCTGGCGGACGACGAGGGTCTTGGTGACGCAGGATCCGGCGACCGTGGTGACCCGAGAACGGGCGAGTCCACGGGAACGCCGGCGGGCGTCGGGACCCCGATGTGCGGCATAGGTGAGGACGTGCCTCTGGCGTCGCGCAATGGCTGCTCGGAGGGGGCCGGGCTTGCGGCAGGTGATGGTGCCGGCTAACCGGGGACGGAGGCCGAGCCCACGGACGTCGACGAACCGCTGGACGACAGGTATACGAAGGCAGACGGTTCGCCGATCGACGCGGGCGAAGAGGCCCCCGACCTGGCGGCCGGAGACGACGAGGGCCGCACCGGAGGTGTGGCGTCAGAGGGCGATAGGCCCCTGAGGCGTCGCGAAGCCCGGGGTGCTGCTGGCGGCGACGAGGAACCCGATCCGGACGATGACGTGTCAGACGATGTGCTGACGTGGCGCACACGCCGGGCAGGCGCGCGCTCGCGAGCGGCGCCGGACGGCCCAGCCTGGTCGACGTGGCATCGCAGGTGATTGGCCAGGCCGCGCTTGGTCGTAAACGTGGCGTCGCACACGCCACAGCGACGGCGAGGCGTCTCCGTCGATGGCACGAGCGTGGCCCTTGCCAGGCAGTGGTGGTACGAGGGCCGGGACGTGAGCGGCGAGTCGCACACCGTGCACACGTAGATTCGCTCGTGCACACGAACGCCGTGCTCGAACTCCACGTGGCGGCGCACCGACTGCGCGCGAGACGTCCAAGCGGCCCCGCTGTACTTCATACTGCAGTTGTCGACCGGGCACTGCAGCTCCGCCGGGGCCGGGAGATAAACCCACAGAACGTCGCCGTCCAGGGCCGGCTGGCGTGGTTGCACCGGGGCAGAAGGGCGTGAGGACGCCGGTGCTTCGGAACCAGCCGGTCCCGACGAGGGCGACGCAGTCGACGCCGGCGATGAAGGGCCCGCCGCGGGAGAACCCGGAGTCCCGCGCCGAGGTCGCTGAGGAGGGGGCGGTGCCAGGGAGCCAGTAGGGGCAGCAGCGTGGCGCCGCCTGGCACGACGGCCCCTCGCGGAACTCGGGCGGGCAGGATCCATGGCAGCGGTCCCGGCAGGCAGCAGGACCGGACGGCAGCAGCAGGGCCGGGCAGGACCAGGTGGGCCGGGCGGTGGGCGACGACGGTGATGCGGTCACGACGGTGACCGCATCACCGTCATGACCGGGCCCCTAATATCCCTGTGGGAATCCACGACGCAGTTGAAATCTCCCATCAATACGTGTGGGAGCGGCTCCAGCAGTAGTTGGTGCAGTTCTCGATAAAAGCTGTTGGTGTCTGAGCGCGTGACTGGACCGTATACGTTCACGAAGCGTACTCTCCTTCCATCGATGTATATATCGGCGAAGATCGAGCGGCCGTTTGCTCCAAAAGTGCAGTGCGCGTGCTGGCGAAAGCGCCCCGATACAAAAATGACTCCTACTCCGCAGGATCTTGTGTTTGAAAGCGTGAAAAACGCGTCTGTATGGAATTCGCTCCGGAAATTACAGACATCGAGAGGGGTTCTAAAGTTCGCTTCCTGTATAAACAGGACGTCTACCCCTTCATGTTTGGCGATTGATTAGTGGAGTTTATTGGCGCAAGGGCCAGATGTGGCCAAAGCGCGCCAGAACGATGATAATGAATTGTACGATGTGCAGTGTAGATAAAACAGATATGATGTGGCTGTAAATGGGCCTAAAAAACAGTCGCTGTAGGTGCGTAAAAATATATATATAGTAAGATTATGGCAATGACAAATGATGTGTGCTATGGAGACATAAAATGGTTTAAAAGTGATATGTATGTGAAATAAAAACTTGGGATGGAGCACCAGTGCCTCGACAGAACCCTTAAAACAAGAGCATGGAGGCCTGGGCTCATTGAAGGCTGCTATCACAGCTGTTTCCTCTGAACAGAGGATGCGCTATGAACCTGTTTGGCTAAAAACATTCAATGTTGGGCTAAAAACATTCAATACTACATCCTTTAAAAAGCTTAAAACAGATTTTGCATCGAAAAGCGGCTCTTCGCCGAGGAACATAATAGGATGTAAAGGAAGATTATAGCGGTATGCTAAAGCAAAATATTTTTTTCTCTCACTTTCAGCTTCCGGACACTCCAGGAGGACGTGGAGGACGGTTAGCCTCTCACCACATCTACCACAAGTAGGAGGCTCATCGCCAGTCAGAAGAAAGTTATGAGTACCATAAGTGTGTCCTATTCTGAGGCGACAGAATAGGACATCAGTTCGCCGTGTTCTTGTAGCGGAGGACCAGTACCCAACCGCGGCTTAATCAAATGAAGCTTATTATTTATTTCTGTGTCCCACAAGCGTTGCCAGTGGTTTCGCAGTTTCTTTCGTAGAAAGGGTTTTAGATCTGTTGCAGGGACAGTAGCGGTGGGGTTAATAGCACGCATTATAATTGACGTGGCCATTTGGTCAGCTAACACATTGCCCTCGATACTTCTATGGCCAGGTACCCAGCAAATCGTGACATGCTGGTTGGACATATACGCTGTACACAGAACGGAATATAGCTCAATTATTATCGGATTTCTGAATCTGAAAAGGGATCTTAATGCATTTACGACGCTTAACGAGTCTGTGAATATAATTGATTTTTCCATGTTTGATTTCCGTATATGCTTCACAGCGGACAATAGTGCATAACCCTCAGCCGTAAATATACTTAATTCCGGGTGCAGCACGCCGGATTCCGAGAAGGATGGTCCGACGGCTGCATAAGCCACCCCTGCATGCGACTTAGAAGCGTCAGTATAAAACTCTACGCATGAGTAGTTGGACTGGAGTTCTCGGAAATGCATTTTAATATGTGCTTCTGGTGCGTGTTTAGTGATCTCAACAAATGAGGTGTCACAGTGTATAAGCTGCCACTGCCACGGCGGTAAATGTATCGCTGTGGGCGTAGGACTGAGTTCCAGCAGCGGAACACCCATTTCCTCACATAAGTTTCTCACACGCAAGGAGAACGGCTTTCTCGCTGTGGGTCGATTATGGAAGAGGGTGGCAGCGGTCATATCGTTTATGGTTGAATAAGATGGATGCTTGATGTTTGCACGTACCTTCATAAAATATGTGAAACTGCTATAGGATCGCTGCAGGTGAAGTGACCACTGATTCGACTCTACATAGAGGCTCTGGATCGGGCTTGTCCTGAAAGCACCGGTTGCAAGTCGGATACCCAGATGGTGAACGGGGTCTAGGATTTTTAATGCACTTGGCGTTGCGGAATGATAAATTATAGAGGCTTAATCAAGGCGCGACCCGACAAGGCTTTTGTATAACTTCAAGAGGCACTTTCGATCACTACCCCATGTTGTACGTGACAAGAGTTTTAGGACGTTCATCGCTTTCAAACATTTCATTTTGACATATTTAATATGGGGAATAAACGTAAGTTTAGAATCTAAAGTGGTTCCCAGGAATTTATGCTCGCTGCTTACAGAGAGTTGGTCTCCCTTGATCGCAACATTTGGTTGTGGCATTACCCCTCGTTTGTTGGAGAAAAGTATGCAAGTACTTTTCTTCGTGTTTATTTTAAAACCGTTTTCATCTGCCCATTTAGAGAATTTATTCATTCCAAGCTGCACTTGTCGTTCGCAGACAGGCATATTGCATGTTTTGAAACTCATCTGCACATCATCAACATACACGGAATAAAACATCGCACTTGGAATGACTGACTGCAGGGAGTTCATTTTTACAAGAAAGAGTGTGCAACTAAGCACGCCACCTTGCGGAACACCAGTCTCTTGGGTAAAAGTTCTAGAGAGAGCGTTTCCCACTTTTACGCGAAAGGTTCGGTTAGACAGGTAACTTTTAATTGTGTTTAGCATGTTCCCACGGATGCCCATGGTGACAAGATCGCGGAGAATCCCAAATCGCCATGTGGTGTCATACGCCTTCTCTAAGTCTAGGAATACGGAAAGTACAAACTGCCTATGAATAAATGCATCTCTGATGTATGTCTCTATGCGAACAAGGTGGTCTGTTGTCGACCTCCCCTCTCTGAAACCACACTGAAGGGGGTCTAGTATACTGTTACTTTCTAAAAAGTGGATTAAGCGCCGGTTTATCATTTTCTCATATAGTTTGCATAGACAGCTTGTTAGCGCTATTGGCCTGTAGCTGGTGGCCAAAGACGGATCTTTGCCTTGTTTAAGTACCGGGATGACTATAGCTTCTTTCCATGACAATGGAATATACCCAACTGCCCACATGTTATTGAAGAGAGTTAGGAGTGTTTTTAGTGCTTCCGGGTGAAGGTACTTGACCATTTCGTATGTTATACGATCAACACCTGGCGCTGAGTTGTTGCAGCACGCAAGATATGCCTTAAGTTCAGCTAATGTAAATGGGCAGTTGTAAGACTCACTGGATGGACGTTTACATTTAAGGGGCTGTCGCTCTTCGCGTTCTTTGAATTTTAAGAACGTTTCTGTATAGTTTGATGCACTTGAGACGTATTCAAAGTGTTCGCCTAGGCAGTCCGCCTGCTCCTCCAGGCTCTCCCCTCGGCTATTTACCAAAGGTAGGGGGTGTGTCTCCCGACCCATTAACTTGTTTACCCTATTCCAAACCTTCGTTTCGTCGGAGTAAGAATTTATACCGGAGATGTACCTATTCCAACTTTCTTTCTTTGCAAGAGGACGCGTTCTTCTGGCTTGGGACTTAACCTGTTTGAAATTGTTGAGGTTTTCAGCTGTTGGGTAATTTCGGAGTAGTCTCCAAGCTTTATTTTGTCTATTGCGCGCTTTCCGACAATCGTCGTTCCACCATGGAATGCGACGTTTATTGGTCATTCCGTTGGTTTGCTTGATACATTTCACTGCAGCGTCAATAATAAAACCTGTTAGGAATGCTACAGCATCGTCTATATTAAAATCAGCAATCTCATCTCCGTCTAAAAATGTAATTTCTCGAAACAGTTCCCAGTTGGCTGACTTGGTGTTCCAGCGAGGAAAGTCAGGCGAGCATGTATCTTCTTTTGTTAACTTTAACATTATCGGGAAGTGGTCACTCCCAAAGGGGTTCTTGAGAACAGACCACTCCAGATAAGGAATTAGTGTACTCGAGACAATACTCAGGTCTATAGAAGAGTATGTGTTGTGCGTAGTGCTATAATATGTTGATTCTTTTTTGTTAAGTAAACATGCACCTGACGAAAACAAAAAGTGTTCTATTAGGCGTCCTCGTGCATCCAAACGGGAGTCGCCCCATAAAGGATTATGTGCATTTAGATCACCAACGACTATATATGGCGGAGGAAGTTCATCAATGAAGCTTTGAAATTCTGTCTTTGAAAGTTGATAGCACGGAGGAATGTAAATAGAAGTAATTGTTAGTAGCTTCCCGAACAGCACTGCTCGGACAGCAACTGCCTCAAGAGAAGTTCGGAGGTTTAATTGCTTACAGGCAACACCTTTATCAACTATTATAGCGACACCGCCCGACGAGGCGGCAGCGTCGTCACGGTCTTTGCGGAAGATAGCATATTGCTTTAGAAAATTTGTTTGTGTGGACTTAAGATGTGTTTCCTGAACACACAGCACCTTTGGAGTATGTTTATTAAGGAGTTCTCTAATATCATCGAGGTTATGGAGAAGTCCTCTCACATTCCACTGTAAAATCTGCGTGTCCATTTTAGATGTGTTTTGTGCTGTGTGCTCAAGGATAGAAAATTAGCTCACGGACCCTTTCCAGGGGCCGTGACACGAGATTTTCCTTTTTTGGATCAGTCGACGGAGTCGCGCCGATCCTTAGGCGCTTGCTGCGCCCTCACGTTCGAAGTTGTGTCCATTGCCTCTAGCGAGGCACTGGACAAGCGCTCTTGCGAGCGCTGCGGTTGTTTTGAGGGCCTCGCCTCTAAATATAAGGCCTTCGCGGTCCCCAACCCGGAGGTTGGTGGGTCCTTCTTCGATGGCGGAGCAGCACTGGCTGCAACCGCCGTGGGGGCGGATGGCGTCACCGCTGGCTCACTAGACGTGTGCCAGACAGGCGCCGGGGGCCGTCGTGGCGCTGCCCCCTGACGCGCCACT